AGGGATAAGAGTTATTCAAAAGGATTGAGAGTTGCTGACCATCATCCTCACATCGGGCTCCGCCGTCGTTTTGGTTGAGTTGTATCCACGGCTTTCTAGACATTTCACCCCCTGGACGTTTCACCCCTAGGCTATTCACCCCTTAGACGTTTCACCCCCTGGACATTTCACCCCTTAGACATTTCATCCCCTGGACATTTCTCCCCCTGGACGTTTCACCCCTAGACATTTCATCCCTTAGACATTTCACCCCCTGGACATTTCACCCCCTGGACACTTCACCCCCTAGACGTTTCACCCCTTAGACATTTCACCCCCTAGACATTTGATCATCCCTTAGACGTTTCACCCCTTAGACGTTTCACCCCCTAGACATTTAAGCCTCAATTTTTTACTCCTACATATTTCATTCAAGTATTTCTCTTTGTTAGAACTGAATACCTTAAAGTCCCCGTCTAAAGTTTGAAAATATTTTTTTATCATTCATTTACTATTTGTCATGACTTAAAAAGTTATTCTAGAGATTTTTGAAAGAAAAAAATTTATTGAAAAAAAAGTTGTGAGCATTTCATTTTTCAAATATTCAAATTTCCCGCCATTTTTCAAAAAAAGTTGAAATGTTTTAATCATCAAATATTTCTTAATGCATTTCGAAAAAGATTATCTTTTTAACACCAATGCAAAGATTGATCAAAGGACATACTATTTCAATAATAAAATGCCATATTTAATGGGCCACTTCAATGTTTTAGCATATCAAAAATATTTTGCACCATTAGTGATATCACTAAGGTACCAAAAACTTTTTGAAAAAAATTGAAATTTTTTTTTCGACGTCAATCTTTTCTAATTATGCTAGACTTCAATAATATACCAATGTTGATTGTCTAACCAGGTTAAAGGGAAGAATATTTATGTTTTAGATATCATTGTACCATTGGTTTCTATGAGAACTAGAATTTTTAAATGCATTTTTCTCGGAACCATTTTCATGCACTGATAAGTTCATATCTCGCTTATTTATGAACCGATTTTCTTAATTTTTTCGGAAAAAAACATGTGAGGATGAATGCTATGCATTGGTATGAGTTGTTGCTAATTAAAAGATATGTGTGACCTCTAAAAGTTAGTTTTAAACAAATTCACAAATTTTGGAACAAAAAGTCTATCAAAAACCACTTTTTGAAATTTAAAAAAAAAGTTTCACATATCACACTTTGATAACATTGGGTAAGACTACAATATAAGCCAAAGTGGTTTAAACTTTAGATGGGGACTTTAAGTGTAAATGGCATATATTACATGTATAGTATATTTCTATTGACACATTTTGCTCAGTAACTTAAGTGAGTTTAAGTTAGATGATGTTATGTAATAGGGTTTAGCGTGGGCTTAATTAATTAAAATCAGAATTTAGTGTTCCAAATAGCACAATGAAATAACAAGTACTGTAGAGGCGACAAGGTAGTTACCAGTTTCACCACCAGGTGGCTCGTTCGGGTCAAAAAACTTGACATGGCGGGTATAGTAGAAAGTTCCCTTTAACTTAAATTACATCTGTTTAATTTTCATATAACCCTTATACATCTAATAGTTATGCAAATTAAAATATATGCAATGAAAGAAAATGTTATCTGTCCAATACAAGAAGAGATATTTCACTTTTGTGATTTTGTAACATGGGGTCTCTGGGGAATCAACCCGAACTAGAAGTCACATTTTCAAAATAAAAAAACTCGCTTCTAGTCTATTCACTTGTTTTTCCATATTCAGTTTTCAGGGCTTTGAAGTGAGGTCCAGTCAGGAAATCTCAAACCAAAAATCTTTTTTATACAATTCTTATCAATTTCACATCTAATTAATTCCATATCTAATTGTTTCCCATAAAACTAATTCTTTTATATCATTATAAATACATTTGTGCACACATCAAAAACATGTTACCTCATGTACCTACAAGAAGAAAAACAATTGGATTAATTTTCTAAATCTAAAAAATAATAATGAATCGGTTTGTTGCTTTTTAATAATGCAATTGATAACACGCTAAGGGAAGGGATTATTTAGGCAATTAGAGACTAGCATCTTTAATAATCAGTGCAAAATGCAAACTTTTTTTAAACTTATTTGCACCAATATTGTTGTGGTTTTATACACCATGACCTTTTCCAGTCAGTGTTACTTGGAAAATAAATAAGTATACATGTACTCATGTAAATTCAGTCAAAATTCACTATTAACCCAACCCATCACATTATACAATACACAGACTGTATATGGGGGTGAAATGTCTAGGGGGTGAAATGTCTCGGGGGTGAAATGTCTAGGGGGTGAACTGTCTCGGGGGTGAAATGTCTAGGGGGTGAAATGTCTAAGGGGTGAAACGTCTAGGGGGTGAACCGTCTAGGGGGTGAAATGTCCAGGGGGTGAAACGTCCAGGGGGTAAAACGTCTTGATACCGTATCCACGCCTAATCATCGACAAGGTACAGTGACAAAATATACCGTAGTACACTTAAGATGTACACTCCCCTCCATAAGTTTGGCAACCTTGGCTCCCCCATTCCACTACGTGTTAAAGCCTCTTTACCTTTGAATTTTTATTTACTTAACCTGCGATGAAAATACTTTATACTATTGATGAAAACGTATTTCCAATACCTCCATATTTTTTCTATTTTTATCTCAATTACAAAGTCAAAAATTCAAAATTTGATGAATTTTTGAAAATCGACATCCCCATGTTAACCAATGGGAAATGGTAGGTTTGCCGCAAGTCATATGACTATCCATCCATTCGAGTCCTTGCAAAAAATACGAGTGAGGCAGGCAATTGAATTTCCTAACTTAATTCAACAAAAAATTGATATGTTTCTTCAGGTTCAACAAAGTTATAGGGCTTTAAAGTCAAAATTGTTTTTCAAAAAACCTCTCCCATTGAAATAACACAGGAGGCGAAAAATGATTTTCAAAAATGACTTTGAAGCGCTGTAACTTTAGTATTCATTGAATAAACTAAACACTTAGTGTACAAAAAAAGTTGACAATTCATGCAATTTTCTATATAGAAATAACTTTTGCTGAATATTTTACTGAAAACTGAGATATCCTGATTTCTGAATTTTCCCCAACCCTCCATTTTCCATTGGATTACATGGGAATGACGATTTTCAAAAATTCATCAAATTTATCATCAATGTTCGACCTATTGTAATTGAGGAAATTTTTTTGTAGGTATTGGAAATAAAGTCAGATTACGTTTCCATCAATATTATAAGTTATTTCATCGCCGGTTAAGTAAATAAAAATTCAAACGTAAAGAGGCTTTAACGGCGTAGTTCAAAATGGGAGCTAAGGTTGCCAAACTGATGGAGGGGAGTGTACGATGTCACTATTTAACCGATTTGAAGCAAAGACAATAATGTAGGTTTGATGTAGGTTTTAATAATGTAGGTTTGATGTAGGTTTTAAAAAAATAATCTTGAGTATCTGTTAGCAGGTCAGTGGCACACTTTTTTGTGGTGTTATTGACCTGAAACTTTCTGTCTTTTCTTAAGTTGAATACGGCATGTTTTTGCAAAATAATTGTGATGAAGCTGGTTAAAGTTACTGACATGTCCAAATTGTCAGTTTTGACATGATCAACCCCGATGTTCTTAGAATTTGGCACTCTCCATAAATAATGGCTCACTACGATAGTTATAAGCTCAAAACACTGGGAATTGAATAACATTTCAAAAGATACCTACTACATCCTCGTAAGTATGAATGTACGTTACCAGATAATAGGGGAGAGCACTGTTGATGTAATTCTCTATAGCCTAACATAGCATACCAAAATATAAGTACAAAAAAATAAAAAATAAAATAAGTACAAAATATCTTCTTATTACTTAGTTGAACTTCGCGTATTTTCAATGTTTTGGGGCAAAATAAAGACTTTTATTTGAATTCTATTGAATGTCCAATGTATTGATAAGAACCCTATGTTTCATTTGACACCAACAACAGCTCAAATGGACATCAAAACTTACAATAAATAATCAAAAAATGTTTTCGATTTGTCAAAAATCTCATTAAAAGATGGCGAAGTTGTTTGTATTACATTATACATTCCTTTTTATAGAAGTGTCGCCATTTTTTAAATCAAAAGTAATTAAAACATGCACTTTGTTTAGCATGTGCATGCATGTCTAATGATCTCTGAACTTCAAATGCTTTTTTCTCCAAGTTATTTTTTTCTTGGTTCAATATTAAAGCAAATCAAACTTTGTTTCATATTTGAGTGAGCGTTTGAGTAATGTTTCAATGATCATTTTTTCTTTTTTCTTCTAAATTAAGAATAGTGGGCCTTTAAGGAAACTATTTTATTTATTTATTTCAGCCAGATCATTCAGGGCAGATTCAGGCACAGAGGCGGTTACAAATCCTTTCAGTTTTAAAGGCAGAATCTGATCTATAGGGGGTGATAAAATTACAAGCAACATGTATAATTGACCTACCAATCTGTTCCTTACAACATCAAATACAATATCTCCTAAAAGATTCACAATATGTTATAAATTGGTGAAGTTATTAATGATTCATAGTGCAAAAATGAGTGAAAAATGTTTAAATTCTCCCAAATAAGAATGGTAACCATTCTTATAGAAAAATAATACATTATTGTAAAAATCGTTAGTTTTCCTGGAATAAAGTACTGCACTTTTGTGATTTTTTAGAAAATAGACATGACAAGGAATGACATAAGCTAAAAATATTCTAAAATTGGAACAATTTTTTGTTTAGCCTGCTCGCTATCTCTGATTCTCTCTTTAATACTATCTTGAGAGGTAATCAAGATTTTGACCGTATTCCGGTCTCATATTCAAATTTTCAATATTATAGGGTAATACATTGAAGAGGTAATTCTTTACTTTAGTCTGCCCTTCAAGCAGTAGTCAACTCCTTTAACAACATGGGCTCGGAATTATACCACATTTAAGAAATAAGAGATAATATGAGTGTGACTTCCATTTATTTTATTCCTTGTTTTTTCCATTTTATTCCACAGAAATGTCCATGTAATGACTCAATGTTAATCTGCTTATCACTCGCCATGTTAGTCTAGGCCCAGTTTTCTCCAGCTCCACCCCATTGTTGGTCCTTGCCTGCAGCAGCTCCAGTGGCTGCGGGTGCAGCAGCGGTAGTGGGGGCTGCCCAATCAGATGCTTCAGGGGCGGCCCATTCATCAGTCTGCTGGGTAGGGTAGCCTGGCTGGTTAGCAATGGGTACAGAGGGCACTGGGACAGCTTCACTTGCCCACTGGAAACAAACAATATAATTAATGAGTGAATTTTTCTCCAAAAGACAAGGTCAATATATTAGTTTTAAGCAGTGTTCATATAAAAAATGTTTCAGTACCATATTAAGTCTGTAAAAATTTAATTATCTGTGAAAATATCTGTAATTCTTTAATTTCATTGTGATTTCGATAAGTGCAAACCAGGGGTTTCATATTAGAATTTGATGAAAATTATTGAAATAATAATTTTCACACTGAAACAGTTGCAAAATTTGTCTTTTGGGGGGGGGGGGGGAAACAGGAGAAAATTACCTGTTGCAGATAAAACCCCTACACATTGCTCAGAGTAAATCTGAACCAGTACTTACATCAGTAACCTCTTGTACAGCTCCCATACCACCAAGGTCCTGGGGTCCACCAGCCCATGGTTGCTCAGTTGGGTATTCCTCCTTCTGCTGGGCCTTCTCAAGGGCGGCCTGTTCATCCTTCTCAACCTGAAACATGGTATGTTTACATTTTACCATAATCAGGCCTTCAAAAAGTTGGAACAATCTATAACACTCAAGAATTTGTGCTTGAATCATTGTTGATTTGTGTGATATTTGTCAGTTTTTTTAAACTTGAACACATCTTGAAGTATCATATTCTTTTAGGAGAGCTTCATCTCAAAAACATCACTACTTGTTACTATCTTAATGAGGCAATGTCACTTAGGTTTCCCCCTAAGACAATCAGTGATGTCCCACTATAATTGCCCATATAATGTCTTACATACCTAAGATATACTTTAAGAACATATTGATGGCACAATATCACTGATATATTAGAGAATCAACAGAACAACCAACTGTCAGATGGAAGGCAATTAGTCCAAAGCAACACACAACCGTTTTAACTATATTGTATCACCCTTTTAAGTAATAAATATAGCCAACTGTTATGTGGGAAGATAACAAGAAATGTGTTGTGGTTCAAGTATGAAAAAAAATTATAATGATTTTTTTCAATTTCATTCGACTTTATTACTAGCCAGTATAAAAGTAATATCTGTGAACAGTCATAAAATTAATAACGTAAACGAACTAGTTGAAGCCTTAAATTTAGATAGACTAACTTGTTTTACAACTTTTAGAGCCAAAACATCAGGGGGTTACTCAAATTGTGCTTTTATCAGACATTGCAACACAGCATGCACATTTCATCACTAACAGACTTTGAAAGTAAGCTCTGTAAGAAAGTCCATTGATGGAGCAATTACAGATCAACCTGATTTATTTTAAATTCTGGTAGTATATTTACTAGGGCTGTTGATGGTTATTCCACTGATAGTAGAACTTTTCATTCAAATCAGTTGACTGTAAATACTACTTTGTATTATTCAATTTCTCTTAATCTCTTTGTTTTTCTAAACTGCCAGGGTCACATGTCAAGCTCAAGCAATGTGACTGGCCTGATAGTTTGATGCTGAAAATCAGCCAATCAGCAGCCAGAAACCTTGTAGTCTGTAATTATAGCTTCAAGGTTTTCTGTGGCAAATTGCCTCAAGATCCACAAACACCCATTTTTAAGGAAATGATTTAAAGACAGTCACATATGAATGCAGCGGTGGCGGTAGGCATATATTTTTGTGAGTCATCATGACTCGGGTAGTTTCAAAAAAGTGAGTTACAAGAAAAAAAGTTGAGTCAAAGATATAAAAGTGTTTTTCTTGAGTAAAAATGCATACAAAATGTAGAAACCACATACAAAATCTATTTTTGATTTTGTGCATACCTTTTATTGTACTCTTATAGCACATTAACAACTAACAATTAATTAATTAGGCAATTGCAAGAAAAATATCACTATTAATCATCTGATTATCTGGTCCAGGGAGTCATGGGTGTGAATGGAGTGGGAGAGGAGTTTCTCCCTGTGTGGAGTTACACAAATTGGGGTCAAAGCGTTTCATGTTGAAATTCAACATTTTTGCAATCATTCCAAAGTCTAAAACGGCAATATAAGTCCGACCACAATACTGGGCATCATTTAAATTGAATACGGTAGAATCTTGTAATTATAGCTGATCAAATGAAACTGAAAGTAGATTTGTTTTCATACCTAATTTATCATCATTACCCCCCTTAATGTGCGATCGACTGGATTTTCATGTGCCCATTATCTATCTTCATAGGATCAGCTTCAGATCTAGTGAATCGAAGATCTTAACTTGAGGGAGTTAATTGAAAATACTTGGTGAAAACTTACGATAGATCGGTCACTGTGAGCACCATTGATAAACCTACTGCGCATTACATCTGCGCATGCTGATGAAGGGGACGGCTCAAGGAAACTTGCTAACTTAGCGAAGGAATTTTGCGAACTTGCGAAGGAAACTAAAGGTTCGTAAATCTAGCGTGTGAACATTCAAGGGAAGATTTTATGCGGTAATTTAGATAAATATACGATCACTAAAATCCTTAGAAGGGAGTATGAAATTAATAAATTATTGTTCAATGTTATGTTCGTCTTATTGCATTTTTGATACGCCCCCTAGCAACGTGCTTCACGAGATAAACAAATCGAGGGATCGATCAATGTTTTCAAGTTTATCATTGAATCTGAATCACAGGGCTTTAAAAATTATATGAAATACAGAAATGAGAAAATGATCGGTAGGAAGGAGGCTCGATTGCCCTGAACGAAATGTTAGATTTCCGGAATTAGCAAAATTATAAATTTGATCAATCACGTATTTTCACGTATAGGGATCAATTTAACCAAGTACCAAGCGGGGATTTTGCATGTGAAACAAACGTGTGTCAGAAAGACTCGGTAGACAATGAAAATTTGCGTCAGAGTTGCAAAAATGTGAGTAAAAAACGTAAAAAATTGCGTTAACGCCACCTCTGGAATGTATATTCAATGCAGAGTAATGAGAAAATCAGTCAAGGCCATGACTTGAAACTTCAGCGTATCAAAATAACCTGCTGTCCAACATTATCAAATATAAAATACATCTGCAGTTCATACTGTTATTCTGTCTTCCGTCTATTTGTTAGTGAATGTAGATAATTTCATTCTTGAAAAATGTCGATTTTCAAAAGAAGTTTGTTGATCCCAAGGGATTAACTTTGTTTTACATATCTGTCAATATTTGGATGTCATCCCTTACCTCTTCTGGGTCTCTGTAGAAGAACAGATCGACCATGACATCCCATGGCACTTCACGGCTGATTGTTCCTCGGAGTCTGAGCACCTCACGGGCGAGGAGGTACCACATGAGTCCAATAGAGTGTGATCCCTTGTTGTTACATGGGATAGCAACATCTACGTGACGGAGAGGAGAATCAGTGTTACAGAGGGCTACAACTGGGATGTTGACATAGGATGCCTCAGTCAATGGCTGGTGGTCAGTACGGGGGTCTGTCACTACCAATAGACGAGGTTCACGGAAAGCAGCCTATAACACAATTGGAAAGATATTAATTTTGGAAAGTCTGGTGTAAATTAGACATGAACTGAACATACAAAAATATTTATGGATAGGAAAATGGAAATCCAAAAATAATTGTTACATTGATTGAGAAACTTCTTAAAGATCAACACTAAGGTCAAAGTGAATACTAGAACAAGAACACAAATGTGTACAAAATGTCCCCACCAAGTGGTGATCCCGTGAAATGGTTATCCTGAAAATGAGTAGACAAGACTTTACCAACACAATTTGAGGACGGAAAATCCAAAGTGGCCACCTTAAAATTTACCCAGAATGCCAAAAATTTAGTCAGTACTAGATTTTCATACTAAGAACCACCCCTGAAAATTTGAAATTGATCCGTCACACAGTTAACCAGAAAACATGTAAACAAGACTTTACAGACACGATTTCAGGATGAAAAATCCAAAATGGCTGCCTTGACATTTACCAAGAATGTCAAAAAACTAATCTGTTTGTAGATTTTCATACTAAGAATCATCCCTGAAAATATGAAATTGATCTACCAAACGGTTCACCTGAAAACGGGTAGACAAGACTTTACAGACAAGATTTTAGGACAGAAAATCCAAAATGGCTGCCTTAACATTTACGCAGAATGCAAAAAAAGTAATCAGATGTAGATTTTCATACAAAGAATCATCCCTGAAAATTTGAAATTGATCTATCAAACCGTTCTCCTAAAAACGCGTAGACAAGACTTTACAGGCAAGATTTTAAGACGGAAAATCCAAAATGGCTGCCTTGACATTTACCCAGAATGCAAAAAAACTAATCAGTTCTAGATTTTCATACTAAGAATCATTCCTGAAAATTTGAAATTGATCTACGAAACAGTTCACCTGAAAACGAGTAGACAAGACTTTACAGACAAGATTTTAGGACGGAAAATCCAAAATGGCTGCCTTGACATTTACCCAGAATGCCAAAAAACTAATGAGATCTAGATTTTTATACTAAGAATCATCCCTGAAAATTTGAAATTGATCCACCAAACGGTTCACCTGAAAACGCACAGACAAGACTTCACAGACAAGATGAGTTTTTGCTGATTTCTTTTTACAAAATTATCACATATAACTACTGTTAACAATAAAGTAGGCTTTTACAGCAAAGTACATCTGAAATTATTTATAAAGCTACTAAATAGTTAAAGTATGAAAACTCAAAAACACCATTCAATATGATACAAAGTATTATCGCGCGCTAACTTTTCTTAAGACATTCAAAATGGCTGACATGACTGAGCTAGCAGGTCCAAAACCTAATCAGATCTAGAATGAAGTGAGCTGAATAAGATGTTAAAGTTTTAAAAGCAACTGTGAAGCAGTTTTTCTTAATGTTTGCAGACAAGGATTTTAGCATTTGACTTCAAAATGGCCGACAGGAAGTAGGTATCGAGTTAATTTTTTTTCATCCACATCTGTATGCACTCATAAGTTATCCCTGAAAATTTGAAGGTGATATCTGTAGCGGTTTTGGAGTAAACTGCCGGACGTACGGACAGACGGACAGACAGACGGACGGACGCGCCTAGGCCGACAATATGGCCCCACACTATGTGGTGGGGACATAAAAAGTAACTGTACAGAGAAGTATATTTAATCAACTGAATCTATACCTGAATCTGATTGGTGAATGTTCCAGGTGTGAAACGTCCAGCAATAGGTGTTGCTCCGGTGTAGTGAGCGAACTTCAAGACGGCACGCTGACCATATGGTCGAGCTGAGATGATACATACATCAGCTGGGTTCTCTATAGCAGCAATAGCACGGGCAGCAAGCAAGAGCTTCTCCCATGTTTTGCGGACATTGATGATGAAAACACCTGGGAAAGTATTAACAATCATGATATTGTCATTTGAAACAGGGATCAACATATAAAACAATTCCACAAATCAGATGGAGATATCATTCAGCTATTATATGCAAAAAAAACAATTAAAAAAGGTTGAAATTATTTTATTGCACCAAACCTCTTATGATATCTTACAATGTGCCAAGTAATATGATTTTATACATTTGAATTTTGTTTAAAATGAATATGACTTTTAAACTATTTTATCAATTGCACGTACCATCAGGCTTCCTTTTGAAGACATACGATTCCATTTGGAAGTCACAGTTTGTGGCCCCAAGGTGGGTGCCACAAGCAAGGAACTTGGTGACATCTTCTTCCTTGAGGGTAAGAGCGCTTAAACCTCCGGACATCGTGAGTTGGTTTTATGTGTTACGTTTACCAACCTAAAATGTACAAAATAGTTAGATATGCGGGCAAATCATTGAAACAAGATATATGTTGAGTCAAAGAGTAACTTGGGGGTATGACGATATGACTTGCGATCTGTTCATTAGTTGACTAACATTATCTTAAATTCAATGATAGGTTGAATTAAATTATGCAAATTAAGGTGGCCTAAAATGCTGCTTATTTTTTTGTAAAGCCACTCAGTAAAATTACGATTTCTCTGCATCCTGATGTCCAATCAAGATGATTCGAGTATCTATGTTTCTGACACGTTTGGGCATCTGGGAATGACAACGACTACCCAAAGTTTGCATGCAATATTGACGTTATTCATGACTGAAATCGGGAAGACAAAATTATGTGATATTCTTTCAGAATTGTTTATAATTTTATTATCCTTTTATTGACATTTTGTATCAGTTACATGATACACTGGTCACTAAATCACTACAAACTGCTACTACAACTATAAAAATAATTATTATACCGTGTGATGCACACTGCTAAACATATTAATCTAAATTCTGAAACCATGAATTCAGCGCTTGCATTAGGTTAGAAAATTTGTGAGTCCCAAGGACACAATTTTTTTAAAAAAGAAAAGGAAGTACTTCAGCGCTCCAATACTTGCACGGAAGGATAATAATGATGTATGACATAGTTAGAGAACAAAAGCCCGGGATAAACTTAATTCGTGTTTGAAAGGTCACTATTGTTCAGCTGTCCATTTCTCCGTTGGACAGCCATAAGTTTCAAAATCTAACATGGCTCTCGAAGTGAGTGAGATTCGATAATTGCCTTAGGTCTTACTTCCTGCGAAAGCTATTTGGATTTTGATATAATAGCTTTCCCACGGAGCATTTGGACAACTCAATGATCGTGACCTGTGAAATCGAATTAAGTCGATCCGCGGCTTACTTTTGGTCTCTAACTGTGTCTTACATCAGTATCATCAATCCGTGTAAGTATTGGAGCGCTGGAGTACTTCTTTTTCGATCAAGACTTGTAATTGTTAGTCGAGTGAATCGTTTTACTGCCAAATTCCAATATGGCGGTTTCTGCTCGGACACTTTCGTAAATCTCCGGAGGTTGTCCGAACCTAACTTATTCTCAAAATTCATTTCGTTTGTTGCGTATCTCGCACCTAGCAAACCGCCATATTGGAAATAGGTCTGTAAAACTTTAACTCGATGAACAATTTACAAGTCTTGATCGAAAAAGAAGTACTCCAGCGCTCCAATACTTACACGGATTGATGATACTGATGTAAGACACAGTTAGAGACCAAAAGTAAGCCGCAGATCGACTTAATTCAATTTCAAAGGTCACTATTGATCAGCTGTTCAATTCTCCGTTTGAGAGCCATAAGTTTCAAAATCTAACATGGCTCTCGAAGTGAGTAACTTAGATCTATACTTTATTTTGCACCTGAAAATAACATGTGCAGGTACAGGATTTCATTCAAAAAGGTTGTTTGGAAAGAATAACCTGGTCAAGTTGATCAGTAAACTCAACTCAAACAAGGATCATTCAAATATTCATTTTCGAAAAATAAAAAGCACGAGTGGAAAAATAAAAAATTAGGATTTTGGATGAAAAAAGTGAAGATGGATACATGTAAATCACCCAATTGCCCTCCTACACATAGTTAAGTGTATTATATGGAGTATATTACAATCTTGAAAGGTTACTATCGATAATTAAAGAGAAATCAGAGAAAATGTGGAGAAATCTTACAAAGTACAAACGCCAAGTGGAGATTCACGTCGAAAAGAGGACGAATTGATTCGGGGCTTCCAGATTTGAGATCAGAGAAAACTTTACGACATTCTAAGGAAGTAACTAGCATTTGAAGCACGCACTGGAGATGTAATTGTGTATTCTCTACTTTATAGTTCATGAATCAATTAGTATTGTAGTTGATTTTGCCTATATAAGAGAGAAAATTAGTAATATACACGACAATCAATTAAAAACTACTTCCGGTTTCTAAAAGAGCAGTTCGTTCAGTGTATCATTCGTAATTACAATCCAGCACACAGATGTAGTATTTCAGTGTTCTTATTTTCCTAACTAATAAGAATATTGTACATACGTCCAATAGACTTCTGGGAAGTTTAAAGTTAATTAAAAGACCAGTATTAGACACAATTTATGACTTTTGATGGTGGAGAGGTTCAGAGTTGACGACCCGGGGCCGGTGTACTGACTACTGATGTGAGTGTTCATATGATCATGGTCAGTCTTATGGCACTGGCGGATCCGGGGGAGGGGTGGCATGGGACTCTTTCTGAGGACCTCAAAATGGGACTTTCAGGGCATAATTTGTTTCATGCCTTTTTTAGGGCGAATTAACAAAAATGGGTCTTAGATTTTCTATTACGGCCGGGCCCAATTTTTAGTTTTAGGGGCCCAACATTTTTTCCTGACTCTTGTTAGCTTATAAAACGGGCAGGGGATCAGATGACCCCTCCCCTGGCGTATCCAAAGGTGAAGAGGAAAAGGAAACTAAAGTAGGTTCCATATTTTAGGTTATTCAAAACACTCGAGGGGGAGCCAGTATTAAAATCTCAAAACCGGGTCCAATGAGGTAAAAAGTAGGTCAAAGTACCAGTTTTTGGTTTATTTTTTACTTCTTACATGAAAAACAACATATGATATTTTGAAAGCCAGAAAAGTGTGATAAATGTGACAGATAGATATAAGATCTAACGTTTTAGGACAAAAACTACCTCGGGTAAATCTTTCCCAGTGGCGGATCCGGGGGGGGGGGGGGCATGGGGCCCTCCCCCTAAATTGGGCCCAAAAAGATTTTGGGACAAAAAGGCCTTAAGGCCCTGAAAAGTATTTTAAGGGTCAGATCACTAAATTCATGATTGCATTGAAAAGCTTTGAATGCTAATTTTCAAGAATGGATGTATTACCAAAAAAGAAAATATGAAGAATTCATATCGTTAGTTTCGAGAGATTATTAAGTGTCAAGTTTTGTCTCTAGTGACTGCATATGTTACTGAATATCTCATCAAGTGACCTGAACTACAGCAGCTAAAATAAGCATACCGAAATATTATAATTCAGTATGATTCGGAGAAGGTGATTATACAGTTATAAGGGATTATAGCAATTTATTTATTATCTTACAATTTAGCTCAATTCTTGAATTTGAAGATCTACTGCTATATTGTTTAATATGCATTATACAATAGATCGATTTGATGGTAAGAACTAGTATGTAATATGATCGATTTTACCTTTTTTGTCATCATTGCTTAGGAATACAATAATACCATTCCAATTAATGATAACTCATATATAGTATGTGATATATGATCGATTTATAATTTGTCGGTAGAACATAACAAGATGTGTATGTTTTGTTTATGTCAAAATATTAGATCTTGTCCATAGGCGTAACCAGGGGGGGGGGGCATAACCAATAAATTGTAAAATTCAAGATAGATCGACCCCCCCCCCTGACCGAAAGCTGGCTATGCCTCTGTTGTTTTCTATAAATCGGTAAATACCTCGTATAGAACTACAAGAACACAAATGTGTACAAAATGTCCCCACCAATAGGTGATCCCGTCAAATGGATATTCTGAAAATGAGTAGACAAGACATTACCAACACAATTTGAGGACGAAAAATCCAAAAAATTGTTTTGACTTTTGGAATCTGTTTTCCAAGACCATATGTTATCATGGAATGGCTCATTTATAAGATGACATCCCCCTTCATAATAAACCTATTCATCAGATTAATTAAGACATTCAATCCAACGCCTAGTGTTATCATGGAATGTCTCATCTATAAGATGACATCACCCTTCATAATAATCCTATTCATCAGATAAAGACATTCAATCCAAGGCCAAGTGTTATCATGGAATGGCTCATTTATAAGATGACACCCCCTTGATAATAAACCTATTCATCAGATTAAGACATTCAATCCAAGGCCAAGTGTTATCATGGAATGTCTCATCTATAAGATGACGTCACCCTTCATAATAATCCTATTAATCAGATATAGACATTCAATCCAAGGCCAAGTGTTATCATGGAATGGCTCATCATAAGATGACGTCATCCTTCATGATAAACCCATTCAACAGATAATAAAGACATTCAATCCAAGGCCAAGTGTTATCATGGAATGGCTCATCTATAAGATGACGTCACCCTTCATGATAAACCTATTCAACAGATAAAGACATTCAATCCAAGGCCAAGTGTTACCATGGAATGGCTCATCTCAGGGTATCCTATGGATTGAATTGGATTCTGAAGTAACGTGGCTTTTTCTTTTTAACGTTTTGATGAATGTAAACAAAGGAAGTTAGTTCGCTAAAGCCTAACATACACCAATACGACATGGTGGGACCTCCATTGATTTAACATTGGGTGGGACCTCTTGGAAATTCGTTGAACGCCTTGGGATTCCTTGGGACTTGTCCCATGAAGCCCCATTGAGTCCCATGCGATTCGATGGGTTATCATTTGGCAAAGTCCCACGAAGCCCTATTGAGAATGAACCTGTTCATTCTTTCCATTGGGCATCGTGTGATTTTTGATCACGGGATGTGTCAGCTAACTTGGGATCAAAATGACCGCGTCAAAACCTTCTTAACTAAATTACATCATTTTCGTGGGACTTGATGGGGTATGGAGGGACTTGATGAGACTCCATGGGGCAAAGTTAACAATTGCAAGGTCTCATGGGACATTGTGGGACTCGATGGGGCATGGTGGGACTCAATGGGATTTGATGGGGCAAGTGGGAATGATTCTGCGCCTTTGGAATATGTTGGCCTTCACCTTAATAGGACCAAACTCGCGTTATGTCACATATCATAAGGAATGTCAACAAACCTACCACCACGGAATTGATCACTTGGAGAGGATGTAAAGCACTATTATTTCCTTTGGCTTCAGGTTTTATGCACTTTCAGATTATTTCCCTCCTTGAACACCGCATCATTGCTCAACTAGAGGTAATTTTTATATAAACATAAGAGACATATGTTATTATGTTATACAACTAAACAATTTATGGCACATATAATACAAAGCATATACATCCCCTCCATAAGGTTGGCAACTGCAAGTTTTCATATGATAACATATCAACACCTGTCAATGTTTGAACCTCGATTTTGTTCCTTATTGCTTTATTTCAAAAGCTTGATGTCTTGTTTAAAATTGCCAAACAGCATGACAAGCTCTGATAAGTGATTCAAAGGGGGACTTCCCGTTACAAAACTTATGCACGTGTATGATGGGGAGTGTAATATTGAACAAATATTTCACTCTATTGAGGTGAATACCTGTACATCTTTCACAAGTGATATTCCACGAAGCCCGAAGGGCGAGTGGAATATCACCTTGTGAAAGATGTACAGGTATTCACCGAAAATAGAGTGAAATATTTGTTTTATTATATCACTGTCTAGCTAAACATCCCTAATATTCATTAAGTCATTAAGTCTTCAGATATTTTTATGAATCTACTCGGTTCGTTTGCCATTTTGACTTAAACTGAACTAAATTATTTACACTGAACGAAAACAAATTCTTTGAAAATTTCCGGGAGCGTGGGATATCGCTAGATATCTCACGGTTGTCTTATCTGATTAGCATTGCCATTGAATATCGCCAGATATCCCACGACATGTGACCCGGTTTTGACCAATCATACTGTCGCTAGCTAGATAGTGATATAATAAAACATGTTATCATCATAGTTCATTCTTAACATACCATAACTATACATGAACAACATGAGGATAGAATGGCACCTGAAATACTTTTGAAAAATGTTATTAGTACACATACATGTATTTCCTATTGCTGACCACACATACCTTAAACGGTTTTATGGGGTATGGCAATGATAAGCTGTAAAAATATAAAATGGTAGATAATGAATATGTTTAGCACATTATGATGTCACACATAGTGTTAAGATTTATTTAGAATAACACATTTTGCTATAATGATACACATTTTCTATTTGACCCTAGCAACAAGTTTAACAACTGAAGTGAAATGTACCCCGCCCCCTTTCTTGAATTTTTAGGGGAAAGTAAAGAGAAAAATCAGAAAATTAGATACATGTACTTTTTATTGAAACTTATGGAAGAAATATTTGCTAACATCATCAGTGAAGTTTTTAATCAGGTTTTATACACCATAGGCCCTTACTGTTTTTTAAATGACTGATTAACAATCAAGTGATTAAGAAATTTTGAAGAGAAATTATGTACTTTTAGGGACAAATTATCCCATATCTCTACCGAAGTTTGTTGGATAAGACACAAACTTTCAGGAATTCTTCATACATGCCTTATTGATATATTTACAATGTTTCATTATAATTGCAACATCCTCAAATTAGATATTAAATAGTTTCAAGCATATGGTCAATCTCAAACTCGAAAATGATAAAATATGCTGACTCAGCACTTTTGAGCCTGCTTTGCAAGGGTTCACAAACTTTTTTCTACATGCCTTGGGGTCCCCTATAAGAATCTAAAGTCAAATTGAATCTAGGTGTTTTGGACACAAATGGCTTTGGCCGTAGTACTATAAATATCAAAGTAATATTTACAATCACCTTTTATTATGTCCCCATGGCCACCACATAGTGTGGGGCCATATTGTCGGCCTAGGCGCGTCCGACTGTCTGTCCGTCTGTCCGTCCGTCCGTCCGTACGTCCGGGAGTTTTCTCTAAAACCGCTACAGATATCACCTTCAAATTTTCAGGGATAACTTACGAGTGCCTATAGATGTGGATGAAAAAAATTTAACTCGAAACCTACTTCCTGTTGGCCATTTTGAAGTCAAATGCTAAAATCCTTGTCTGCAAACTTTAAGAAAAACGGCTTCACAGTTGCTTTTAAAACTTTAACATCTTGTTCAGCTCACTTCATTCTAGATCTGATTAGGTTTTGGACCTTTAAGCTCAGTCATGTCAGCCATTTTGAATGTCTTAAGAAAAGTTAGCGCGCGATAATACTTTGTATCATATTGAATGGTGTTTTTGAGTTTTCATACTTTAACTATTTAGTAGATTTATAAATAATTTCAGATGTACTGTGTTGTAAAAGCCTATGTTATTGTTAACAGTACTTATATGTGATAATTTTGTAAAAAGAAATCAGCAAAAACTCATAAAGACTTTTTTATTGTCGGCCATTTTGGATTTTTGGTCCCAAAATCTTGTCTGTGAAGTCTTGTCTGCGCGTTTTCAGGTGAACCGTTTGGTGGATCAATTTCAAATTTTCAGGGATGATTCTGAGTATGACAATCTAGATCTGATTAGTTTTTTAGCATTCTGGGTAAATTTCAAGGCATCCATTTTGGATTTTCCGTCCTAAAATCTTGTCTGTAAAGTCTTGTCTACGCATTTCCAGGTGAACCGCTCTGTAGATCAATTTCAAATTTTCAGGGATGATTCTTAGAATGAAAATCTAGATCTGATTAGTTTTTTGGCATTCTGGATAAATGTCAAGGCAGCCATTTTGGATTTTCCGTCTTAAAATCTTGCCTGTAAAGTCTTTTCTACGCGTTTTTAGGTGAACCGTTTGGTAGATCAATTTCAAATTTTCAGGGATGATTCTTAGTATGAAAATCTACATCTGATTAGTTTTTTTGCATTCTGCGTAAATGTTAAGGCAGCCATTTTGGATTTTCTGTCCTAAAATCTTGTCTACCCGTTTTCAGGTGAACTGTTTGGTAGATCAATTTCATATTTTCAGGGATGATTCTTAGTATGAAAATCTACAACAGATTAGTTTTTTGACATTCTGGGTAAATGTCAAGGCAGCCATTTTGTATTTTCTAGGGGTGAGACGAGTCGAAAAAATCCGATTCGAGTCGAATCCGATTCGAGTCAGAAAATGACGATTCGAGTTTCGAATCCGTTTCGAGTCAGATAAAGTGCGAACAACATCGCTTTTGACCGTTCGTATTTTTAATGCGTCAATGGTGGAAAGCCGGAAATATAAACAAACACAATTCGTCGTAAGTTTATTCTGATTTTATTACATATATTCTTTCATTTATGTGTACATACAATATAATAATTTAATACAAGCATATCTAAGTCATTGAAACTTATATATTCAACGCAATATCGAGTAAAAACATGCATATTGACAGTATTTTTCTGAATTTTTTTATTTTTTCGAATTTTTTTCTCAACTCGAAAATGATTCGATTCATCAACTTCGACTCGATTCGACTCGACTCGAAGCCCCAAACCCGCGAGTCCTCGACTCATCGGGTTGTCGTCTCACCCCTAGTATTTTCCATCCTGAAAAAGTCTTGTTTACATGTTTTCTGGTTAACAGTGTGACGGATCAATTTTTTGGATTTTTCGTCCTCAAATTGTGTTGGTAATGTCTTGTCTACTCATTTTCAGGATAACCATTTGACGGGATCACCTATTGGTGGGGACATTTTGTACACATTTGTGTTCTTGTAGTTCTATACTGATCCTGTCCCTAGCCTCTCTGAGCTTACTCGGATTTAGAATGAAATAACTTTTGATTTTCTTTTAGAAGATACCCTGAAGTGTAGGAATCCATAAGTTATTTTTTCAGGTTTGGGTAAAATCAATTTTTATGGCAGGTTATAGTGGCGCCATCTAGTGATTTTAAAGTTGCAGGGTGATAATCTTAATTAATTTTTTTTTCATCCAAACCTAATTTCATATTTATTTTTTTGCTGTTTCCTTAGAGACTACTTCCTAAACTATGCATTTGAATTTTTAGGTGATCCTGGAAGGTCATTTGATGGGTCATTTTGCCTCAAATATACAGAAGCGCCACCTATAATCAAGGGTCTACCTTATAAAGTTTATTATTCTGAGGCTGTTATGGTAGATAAAATTGTTATTATTGGTGTAATAATTAGAACCATAAAGGGGACATATGATGCAGTATCAAATTAATATATGTGGGACATGGGAACTTAGAAAAAATATTTTTTGTAAAAGTGGAAGAAATTTGACAAAATATCAGTTTTTACATATTACCAAATACATATGCTTTTTTATTTCTAAGGTAAACCTAACATGATGTAACAAGTAGAAAAATATATATTTAGACAAGTTAAGCTTATGGTTGACAATTACGGTTATTAATGAATACATTATAGACAGAATTAAACCATGCATAAAAGGCGCCATCTATAGAAAATATATTTTTCTATAAGTTTCATTTGTTTGTAAATCATGTATGATTTTTGAAGGCAAAGTAAGAAACATAGAGAACAATGACAAAATTGAAAGCAAAATGCGCTTTTAGCCTCCCCAAGTCTTCCTGACCATTTCAAATATTGTACCTCCTAATAGATACATGCTATTTTATGAAATAATATAACCATATTTCAGATTCAAAGTATATATATCCACAGCAAAACACTTGAACGTATTAACAGAAATACCTCTATTTTTTAATAAAGAATGCACCTCTTTGAATTTCTAGAAAATAGATGTGATTACGAATATGACATAAATATTTTTGAAAACTGCTCCCTGATCTGATTCTACCTAAATTCCAATTCATTGTAAAATAAGAGACTAGAAAACAACTGTTACATTCAATTTGTTTTGTGATATTTGATTAAAACAGTTCATTTTATCAGCATAAAACATTAATTAAGCATTGCCTCCAAAAGTTCACTCTCTTTTAAAAAGGGATTTTTACATTTATTTGTTTGTAAACTTGTGCATTTGCAGAATGATATGCAGTGTTGCCCACTCTGTTTGCATCCACATGATGCCTGGCTGCAAGTTTTGCATGTACATTGCTTTATCAAATCTTCAGGCCAAATCCTTATGTCCTGCTTTGGGATAAGAGAATCATTTGTGGGGTCCTTCATGTAGCCATATTGTTTTATGTGGTCTGTTAGTAGGTGTGATGTGGGTGGCAATGAGCTTATTTGAGCTGATTTTGAGTGATGGTACATCCAGTTCCTAAATTTATTCATGGTCATACATTTTGACCCAGATTTCAAAACTTTTACAAGAAACACTTCAGCTTTACTGCAATTTTCATCACTTAGGTTCTCCCCAAAGGTTGCTAAACCTTGAATGTATTCTGGTTTTACTTTCAATGCTGCAGGTTTTGTACCAACTTTACTTGTAACATCTGAACCAGTAAGGAAGTGAATTGCAGGTAAAGCTTTGCTTATATTCTCATCAACTCATTTTTAAATTGTGCCAATACAGTCTATCGCACACATAAAATATATAAGTATATGATATACCTTTTTCAAAATGATATAATTTTCTATAAAGTGATTTATATGCCTGGTGATGGAACATAATGAACGGAGGGGAATCAGCCCATTTTTGATAGAAAATTTAACAAGGCACAGTGTGAACAGAATCGCACCCTTGAATAGAATACAGTTTTTGTAACGGAACATCCAAAATGGCCACCCTAACCTTTACCCAGACTGCCTAAAAAACTAATCAGTTCTAAACTTTCATAGGTAGAAACATTCCTTAAAATTTCCAAAGAATCCATCAAATGGTTTGGCTGGAAACCTGAAGACAAGCCTTGACAGACAAGATTTAAGAACATAAAATCCAAAATTGCTGCCTTAACTTTTACCCAGAATGCCAAAAAACTAATCAGTTCTAAACTTTCATAGGTAGAAACATCCCTGAAAATTTCAAATGAATCCCTCAAACGGTTGGAGTGGAAACCTGTAGACAAGCCTTGAGACACAAGATTTTAGGACGTAAAATCCAAAATGGCCACCTTAACATTTACCAAGAATGCCGAAAAACTAATCAGTTCTGAACTTTCATAAGTAGAAACATCCCTGAAAATTTCAAATGAATCCCTCAAATTGTTTGGCTGGAAACCTGTATACAAGATTATTCGGGACGCCAAAAAATCCAAAATGGCCACCTTACCCCTTATCAAGAATGCCCAAAAGCTTATCAGTTGGCCAGGAAATGCATATAGACAAAACTTTACAGACAAGATTTTAGGTAAAATCAAAATTGGCCACCTCAACATTTACCAAGAATGTCTAAAAATTAATCAATTTAAGATTATTATATAACTAGACAACAGCAACGCCAAAGTGTAGCAAATCCCATCGAACAGCCATGGCTGCCAAAGTGTCATAAAACAGTGTGCCATGCTCAGAACGTAAAATAACATGTGTCAAAATGGCGGCCAAATTGTCATTAGACAGTGAACTATGCTTATGAGTATTCACATATCAAATATGAACAAAATCGCTCTATTACTTTTTGAGTTATAGTAAAGGACATAAAATAACACGTTTAAAAATGGCGGCCATTTTCAAAATGGCTGCCTTCTAGCCAAAGTGTCATAAAACAGTGTGTCATGCTAATAAGTAGTCACATACCAAATATGAACAAAATCGCTCCACTACTTTTCAAGTAATTGCAAAAATTGTAAAATAGCACGTAAAAGACGCCATTTTCATGTCTAGCTTGACTAATGTCCTATAGAACTTTTTACATTTAAAACACATTGCTATTACAGTTCTATACACTGTACCTAAATAACTGTCAAATCGGCACTAAAATGGCCACCATTTTGAAACGAGCGGCCATTTTGAAAATCAGCTTTCGAGCAGGACTTCTACCCCCATAGTGCACATGTATTGTTCAATTTTTTAGATGTTGATGTGTTTATGTTATATAATTAAGTTTTTATACAGGATGTCCCAAAAAAGTGCCACAAAATACATATATAATATATGTAGTTTTGTGGCATTTTTTGGGACACCCTATGTTTCAAAACATCATAAAGTTTTTGTAAAACTAATTAAATATAGTCTGGTTTTGTTTCATACAAAATTCAGATATGGATTTTGAACTAATGGTTTCATGAAGAGAGTTATAAATATCATGGGATAAAAAGCTTATTTACTATACTGAGAGGGATTCAATATGGGTTTATAATGTGAAAATATGGGCCCTCAGGAAATATCATATTGTCCCTTGGACGGAATAAACCCCATATTAAATCCCTCCCAGTTAAATGGAAAATTGTGCTGAAAGTTTTGCTTCGTTCAAAAATCTTTCAAAAATCGAGTGTTTCTAAGGGTTTCTGGACAACTCGGACCCAGGACAACTCGGACCCTGGACAACTCGGACCCAAGACATCTCGGACCCAAGACAACTCGGACCCAAGACAACTCGGACCACTTTTTGAAATGATGATTTTCATCAATATATATTAGGTTTTAATTATTTTTAAGGTTTATTTTGACATATATTATATATTGTGAATTCATATGTTATGTTAATTTGATGAAATTGTTTTAAAATAACGTTTTGATGAGCGTTAAGAAGTAAGAAATTATTTAAGCTAAAGACCCAAGACAACTTGGACCACTTTTTGAAATGATGGTTTTTATCATTGTATGGGGTTCTAATTTTTTTTGTTTAATGTTTTTTTATGACATAAATTATATATTGTGAATTGATATATTGTGTTAATTCGATGAATTTGTTTTAAATTAACTTTAATTTCAAAAAGTGGCCCGAGTTGTCTTGGGTCTTCAGCTTCAATATTCTCTTACTGGTCTTACTTCATAACTTTCATCAAATAAGTTAATTGAAAGGTTACCAATTGAAAGATCTTCATCAAATAAATACAATATATAAATTCACAATATGTCCTGCCAAACATTAAAGAAATAATCCCCAGTTACGACAACCAAAAGTATAATTTCAGAAAGTGGTCCGAGTTGTCTTGGGTTTCTAGTTTCAATATCTTCTACTTAATTTTCATCAAATAAGTCAAATTAAAACATTTTTTTATCATATTAATACAAAATATGAATTCACAATATATAATATATGTATTAATTTTCATAAATGAAAAAATAAAACCACCCATTATGATAAAAATCATAATTTTAAAAAGTGGTCCGAGTTGTCTTGGGTCCGAGATGTCTTGGGTCCGAGTTGTCCAGGGTCCGAGTTGTCCTGGGTCCGAGTTGTCCAGTTACCTTTCTAAGTACTTGGAAGCATCACAGATTTTATTTTCCTAGACACCAACTTACATTCTATATTAGAAATAATTTGAATCATTCTAAGTGATCATAATTTTAATTCTTCTATTTTGTCGAAGATGAGCAATCTTTATATCTTAAATAAACCTTAAGCTTACTTACTTTAATCACATTTTAATAATTTTGTTTCCACCAATTCAATACATGTTCATCTGTAGTCTCAAATATATACTAAATACAAAAACAGAGGTTAGTCAATAAGTCAATTATAGAGGATTACTGTTTTAAACAACCTTCATGCTAATAAGATGTAAATTACCCCAAAATTAGCTGCCATGGCTTTTAACAGGAGTTTCAGTTTTGAGTTTGATATTAACTTATGATGGTATAAATATAATATAAAATTAGATCTAACTACATTTGGGTGGGATAGATTGAAGGATCATTTTTTATTTGAAAAGTGTAGATACATCTTTTGAGAAGCTCTAATTTTATACAAAATGTTTCTGGCAAAAATTACCTGTAAAATAAAATATAATTTATTCTAAAAGTGCACACTTATGGAAATGATATGATTAATAGATGTTATACTCTATTTATACAAAGAAACTCAGGAAAAGCTTTTCATACATTCATTAAGTACCGTGTTGTATTTCCAGAAGTTGAGTCTTTGATATAATAGGGGTGTATATCAAACACAGAATAATTAAATAATAATAATGGGCCAAAACCAAAATTCAGCCCTACAATTACTTCATTCATATTCTCAAAAATCAAAATGTATTTGTTTGTACTTGTTACATCATATAAGGATTACCTTAGAAATAAAAAAAGCATATGTATTTGGTAATATGTAAAAACTGATATTTTGTCAAATTTCTTCCACTTTTACAAAAAAATTTTTTTCTAAAGTTCCCATGTCCCACATATATTAATTTGATACTGCATCATATGTCCCCTTTATGGTTCTTATTATTACACCAATAATAACAATTTTATCTACCATAACAGCCTCAGAATAATAAACTTTATAAGGTAGACCCTTGATTATAGGTGGCGCTTCTGTATATTTGAGGCAAAATGACCCATCAAATGACCTTCCAGGATCACCTAAAAGTTCAAACGCATAGTTTAGGAAGTAGTCTCTAAGGAAAAAGCAAAAAAATAAATATGAAATTAGGTTTGGCTGAAAAAAAAATTAATTAAGATTATCACCCTGCAACTTTAAAATCACTAGATGGCGCCACTATAACCTGCCATAAAAATTGATTTTACCCAAACCTGGAAAAATAACTTATGGATTCCTACACTTCAGGGTATCTACTAAAAGAAAATCAAAAGTTATTTCATTCTAAATCCGAGTAAGCTCAGAGAGGCTAGGGACAGGACTATACGAGGTATTTACCGATTTATGGAAAATATTTCAAAATAGATAAAGCCAACTGAGATGGCAGAACATTTTTTCTCAAAAACTAGCAATCATATTAGAATACTCTCTGCCATGTTTTTACATATTTCAAATTATTTTGTTATATTATGATGTATATATAATATTCACTAATTTGTAAATCACGTGCATAGTTTAAATGGGAAAATGACTGAAAATAGCCGTGGAATGCTAATATCACCGGGAAATCATCAAAAGGTACGTGAGCATTGTTTCTGTCGGGAGAAGATTCCCGGGGATTTAGGATGCCAGTTATTGTGAATATCGGCAGAAATTAGGTACATTCGGGGGTTTTCTTTGAAGCTAATGAAAATAGATGTTAGCCTTGATGAAATATCCAAACTTCGATATATTTTGACACCAGGCCCATGATCGTTGGATACGTCTCTGCACTATTTACTCAACCGTTAATGTAAACAAAACGATTATACGAAATTATATAAACACCACCGTGAGATGGTGAGTTCATGAAGATTATCAAAATGTTTCGAATTTCAAATTGTTATCAGCTGATTTGTTTTCTTATTTTTCCCCATTGTCTTGGCCATTTTGCTCAAAATCTCGCCCGTCGTCTGATTTTTTAGCCGTTAAATCGTTTAATGGCACAGTGACGCTTGTGTCACTTCTCTGAACATCTCGGTCACGATCCAGTTTGTCATCCATCTTCCCAGTACCGAATAGCTCTGCCTCTATGAACGTCTCCGGCAGCCGCTTATCTTTCGTTTCTGGAAGAAGGAATGCCAGTGAAGCTGCAATCAAAGGAAATACTCCCAAAACCACATACGGTAACCCATACCAAATGCGTCCAAGTAAAGGGATGTTTGGACTAATTAGGCCTCCTACCCTTCCAAAACTGGAGCCGCTACCAATACCAACATTCCTCGCAGGAGTAGGGAATATTTCTCCACTGTATAGGTACAGTACTCTGAACACGACGCCTATGAGTAACAAACCACATAGGGCTGCTGTCGTGGTCAACGCCATGATCTTGGTCGGCAACAGGCCAATCATTACAAAGGCCAAAACGCCGTTTACAATAAAAAACGAAATTACCATGGTCTTTCTGCCCATTTTAAATAAGGCAATCATTATAAGTAGCGGATTTAAAACATCAGCGACTCCATTGATAATGAAATTATTTAAATAAATGTCCCCAGGTATCAACGTGCCAATGTTGAGTTTCATTGCATATGAACCAAACACAACAGCAAACCATTGGACCCAGATCACCAAGGTCCTCTTCCTCATGTTCGGAGTACGAAATAAGTCAAAGATTGACGCTTTATTTTCATTTTTTTCATTAGGGTTCTCCTGTGTTATCATGACTTTGTCTTTTAAGGTAAAATCCTTGGGACATGCCACTCTATTTATCTTAGCAATTCTTCTGCATATGTCCTCAGCTTCTTGATATCGTCCTCTTGCAATTAACCATCGAGGAGATTCTGGCAAGAAAAATATTCCGATGAGGCCCGGGATGGTTACCAACGCTGATATAATTTGGAGCCATTTATGACCTCTTACTAGGAACGCTGTGAGCGTAAAGAGGGCTCTGGATATGCGCAATAAAGAGGAGTAGAATGTGGCGTGTGTCCGATGCACAGGTGGCATCAACTCGATAGTGAGGACCCATAGACAGGTAGTACTCCCGACAGTCGTCAAAAGAGAAAGGAAACGCATCACTAAGAATAGTATGAAATTTTCTGAAAAAGCTCCACCGAGAATGGCACCGATTGAGCAAACTAACATACCCAGGACAGTTCGCCTTCTTCCAAACCTGTCTGAGATAAGCCCAGAGAGGAACGCTCCGACTAAAACTCCAAGCATCTGAAATGTGGCAGGAAGCGTATACATCCAGTCGTTTTCACAAATAAGTCCAAATTCGCTCACAGCCGTTGATTCTCGCACTGACCTATCAAACACCCATCCATGCTTACAAGCGATTTCAGCAGTTGTTCCATTGCCTACCCATGTTTCGATCGTGACAGGATCAGTGAAATTGATTGCGCTGTAGTTAAAGTTGAACATACTACATTGTTTGTATACCATAGCTCCCAGAGGGTCAATTGTCTGAGGAATAGCAATTAACTTCTGCATGGTTTCATTCAAATGTTGCAACTCAGGAACCTTACACCAATGGTCCATTCTATTTGCGATAAAAACAGTAAGGGTATATTGCCAGCTATTTCCCGAAGAGAATATGTTCCAGACTACCATTACCAATATCTGAAATCGTCCAAATCCTCCCAACAGACCCAGCGCATCATCAAACTTCATGTTTTAACTGACCGATGGCGTTGAAAATGAATAACGCTTATTTAGAACCAACCCAAGAACTGGTTCAACGTGAATGTTAAATATCAACGAACTCGAGTGAACATATTCAGTTTAGTATTGTCATTTCTTGATAAGATCATTACTTATCAATACTTTAACATATTTTCAAGCTATCAATTTAATAATGTTTTTCGTGTCAAGACTCGATGTTGATTAATGCTCCTTCATAACCAGGAGGATCTTGGCACACAAACATAACAATGATAAAAACATGTGGTCAAGTTGTGGCTCACACAGTGAGCCTATGGGATCGACCAGGCGTCCGTCCGTCAAAATTGGCCGCACAAATTAAAACTGCTATTCGGATTGAGTCATATCTACATTTATTTTATGCATATCCATAATGCCTATTTGACCTATCATCGCCATTTCCCAAGTTCGCCCGGTTTCCGAGAAATTGCTGGTTTTTGATGTCAAAAAGTCAACTTTTCTGTAAATACTAGACACTTTGTTGAAGTAGAACTTTCAAATAACTTGTAGTAGTTGCTGTTTATGCAACTTATGTTCTCTGAAGATTTCAAAGCTCTTGAAATTACAGTTTTCGGTGTTTACTCTATTAAATTTGACAAAAAGTAGGACTTGGTCATTTTCAGGTAACTTTCTCATGTATAAAGTCAATCATCATTGGCTGCACAAAACACTGTGTGAGCACATGACCGAGGGACCTTTATTTTTAGTTACTAGGGAGGTTAAGTTTTTGAGAGAACCCGTACGTGAGCTTGTAATATTTAATATTTCGACCCTGGGAGATTAGCGTCCCGCTCTCATTTCACTTTTCCAGTAATTACAAGTGTTCTCCGTATACCTTTATATTCAATTGGTCAAGTAAACAAGTACAAATGGGAGAACTTATACAAAACAAAAAAATTCTACACGTTCACTGCGTACAATTTAAAAAAAATGTATCTAAACCTCCCTACTATCGATTAATCTCGTATATTTGTAATGCATGTACATATTCTGCTTCCCTTCTCAATTATATTATATTAATATTCATAGCGCAAACTTCAAATTCATAAAAATGTGTTGCAATACGTTTGTAAACAAAAAGTATATGTATTAGCTCTTGAAGATATTTGTGTTTCATCGTAGCAACTTAACATATTAAAAAATCATTGACTTGGGGTCCTTATTTTCAATATGTCTATGAGACATGATAATACATGTTACTTGACCTGTCGCTTGCTTTATTTATGAAACCAATGAAAGTGTAAAAGATAGCAATAAAGAGGCAATGAGAAGATTTAGAATCAAGTACTGATGAAGATGACAAAATTAATAACAATGAATCGGGGTTTCATATTTGAATCAGGTTCGCGTAACCGTCCATCAATTTTTTGCGTTACCGCAAATTCAAAATACTTTATTATGGCTTGAGTAGAACATATTAGGTGGTTTCCAATGCTCAATTGGCTTTGGATGATCGTATTTAGATCACATCTATTTACCCCAAGGTTTTTAGGCAATGTAGACCATGCCCCAACAACAAAAATAAACAAATTACTAAATTTTATGTAGTTTTGAATTTCAAACTCGACAATTTTTCTCTTATTTCATGTTATCCCCGGGCATCAATTTGCAAAGTCGACTACGTTCAAAATATACATTACTGAATCACAAGTGTTTATATGTACTATATGAGATTTTATTTTGCAATGCAATACATGTACAATTTTTTAAGAGATGCAGACCCACTTTTAAATTATAAGGGGAGCATTGTTGTACACTCCCTTCCATAAGTTTGGCAACCTTTTTTCCACCATTGAACTACGTGTTAAAGCCTCTTTACCTTTGAATTTTTATTTACTTAACCTGCGATTTAAATACTTATACTATTGATGGAAACGTAATTTGACTTTAATTCCAATACCTCCAAATTTTCTCAATTTTTTCCCTCAATAACAATAGGTCGAAAATTGATGAGGAATTTGAGGAAGTTTTGAAAATCGACATTCCCATGTTAACCAATGGGAAATGGTAGGTTTGCCGCAAGTCATATGACAGAATATCCATCCATCCGAGTCCTTCCAAAAAATACGAGTTAGGCAGGCAATTGAATTTGCTAACTTTATTTAACCAAAAATTTGATATGTTTCTTCAGGTTCAACAAAGTTATAGGGCTTTAAAGTCAAAATTGTTTTTTAAAAAACCTCTCCCATTGAAATAACACAGGAGGCGAAAAATTATTTTCAATCATGACTGTGAAGCGCTGTAACTTTAATATTCATCAAATAAACTAAACACTTAGTGTTAAAAAAAGTTAGACAATTCAATTTTCTATATAGAAATATTTTTTGCTGAATCTTTTACTGAAAAGATATCCTGATTTCTGATTTGCCCCGAACCCTCCATTTCCCATTGGATTACATGGGAATGACGATTTTCAAAAATTCATCAAATTTATCATCAATTTTCGACCTATTGTAATTGAGGGAAAAATTGAGAAAATTTGAAAGTATTGGAAATAAAGTAAAGTTACGTTTCCATCAATAGTATAAGTTATTTCATCGCCGGTTAAGTAAATAAAAATTCAAACGTAAAGAGGCTTTAACACCTAGTTCAATGGAGAAAAAAGGTTGCCAAACTTATGGAGGGGAGTGTATATTTGATTGATTTAAGTGATTGTTCCATTGTGTTTGCACAACCAATAATTGCTGTCAATAGGTGTCACTAGTATCAGCCTCGTTTTGAAATATAGATTGAATACAGAATATGAAAGTTGTGTTCATTTATTACTTTGGATATTAATAGACATTTGGATCTATAATTGACATATCCTACAACCATGAACACTGTGCACTGATTTTCGGCAACATGATTTCCTAAATACGACAGAAATACGAGCGACTTCTTGATTTAGAATTGTGAACAATTTACAGCATTAAAAAAACTCCGAATATTTAACTATTTTATTAATATCTTCGGAGAACGAGAATCAAATTGACCCATCTTCACTTTTTGATATGTATATATCAGTTCAAAATGTTCGGATTTTTTCTACTTTTGTAAATTACAATCGCGTTAAAAGTAAGCTTGGCAATTTACTTATACAGTGAAACTTGACTTAGAAAACACTCTTCTGTAAGGAACACCTGCTTTACAACTCAATACAATTCATTACAATTACAACACTGCAAACATCTCCTTCACACGAGCCTCCATTTTTAAAATGATCTCTTGTAAAGCAATTATTTTATAGAACTATAAATCTGTCATGAATGCGGACTAATTGTGGTGTTCTGTTGGATAGAACGTTAGGTGAAAACGGGGCTGGATCTAATGATAATATCACCGGGAAATCACCAAAAGGTACGTGAGCATTTTTTCTGTCGGGAGAAGATTCCCGCGGATTTAGGATGCCAGTTATTGTGAATATCGGCAGAAATTAGGTACGTTCGGGGGTTTTCTTTGAAGCTAATGAAAGTAGATGTTAGCCTTGATGAAATATCCAAACTTCGATGTTTTGACACCAGGTCCATGATCGTTGGATACGTCTCTGCACTATTTACTCAATCTTATGTAAACAAAACGATTACACGAAATGATATAAACACCACCGTGAGATGGTGAGTTCATGAAGATTATCAAAACCCTGTTTCGAATTTCAAATTGTTATCGGCTGATTTGTTTTCTTATTTTTCCCTGTTGTCTTGGCCATTTTGCTCAAAATCTCGCCCGTCGTCTGATTTCTTAGCCGTTAAATCGTTTAATGGCACAGTAACGCTCGTGTCACTTCTCACAACATCTCGCTCACGATCTAGTCTGTCATCCATCTTCCCAGTACCGAATAGCTCTGCCTCTATGAACGTCTCCGCCAGCCGCTTATCTTTCGTTTCTGGAAGAAGGAATGCCAGCGAAGCTGCTATCAAAGGAAATACTCCCAAAACCACATACGGTAACCCATACCAAATGCGTCCAAGTAAAGGGATGTTTGGACTAATTAGGCCTCCCACCCTTCCAAAACTGGAGCCGCTACCAAGACCAACATTCCTCGCAGGAGTAGGGAATATTTCTCCACTGTACAGATACATTACTCTAAACACGATGCCTATGAGTAACAAACCACATAGGGCCGCTGTCGTGGTCAACGCCATGATCTTGGTCGGCAACAGGCCAATCATTACAAAGGCCAAAACGCCGTTTGCAATAAAAAACGAAATTATTATGGTCTTTCTGCCCATTTTAAATAATGCAATCAATATAAGTAGCGGACCTATAACATCAGCGACTCCATTGATAAGGAAATTGTTTAAATAAATGTCCCCAGGTATCAACGTGCCAATGTTGAGTTTCATTGCATATGCACCAAACACAACAGCAAACCATTGGACCCAAATCACTAAGGTCCTCTTCCTCATGTTCGGAGTACGAAATAAGTCAAAGACTGACACTTTATTTTCATTTTTTTCATTAGAGTTCTCCTGTTTTATCATGACCTCGTCTTTCAAGGTAAAATCCTTTGGACATGCCACTTTATTGATCTTAGCAATTCTTCTGCATATGTCCTCAGCTTCTTGATATCGTCCTCTTGCAATTAACCATCGAGGGGATTCCGGCAAGAAGTATACTCCGATGAGGCCCGGGATGGTTACCAATGCTGATATAATTTGGAGCCATTTATGACCTCTTACTAGGAACGCTGCGAGTGTAAACAGGGCTCTGGATATGCGCAATAAAGAGGCGTAGAATGTGGCGTGGGTCCGGTGCACAGGTGGCATCAACTCGATAGTGAGGACCCATAGACAGGTATTACTCCCGATAGTCGTCAGAAGAGAAAGGAAACGCATCACTAAGAATAGTATGAAATTTTCTGAAAAAGCTCCACCGAGAATGGCCCCGATTGAGCAAACTAACATACCCAGGGCAGTTCGCCTTCTTCCAAACCTGTCTGAGAAAAGCCCAGAGAGGAACGCTCCGACTAAAAGTCCAAGCATCTGAAATGTGGCAGGAAGCGTATACATCCAGTCATTTCCACAAATAAGTCCAAATTCGCTCACAGCCGATGATTCACGCACAGACCTATCAAACACCCATCCATGGTTACAAGCGATTTCAGCAGTTGTTCCATTGCCTAACCATGTTTCGATCGTGACAGGATCGGTGAAATTGATTGCGCTGTAGTTAAAGTTGAACATGCTACATTGTTTGTATACCATATCTCCCAAAGGGTCAATTGTCTGAGGAATAGCAATTAACTTCTGCATGGTTTCATTCAAATGTTGCAACTCAGGAACCTTACACCAATGGTCCATTCTATTTGCGATAAAAACAGTAAGGGTATATTGCCAGCCATTTCCCGAAGAGAATATGTTCCAGACTACCATTACCAATATCTGAAATCGTCCAAATCCTCCCAACAGACCCAGAGCATCATCAAACTTCATGTTTTAACTGACTGGTGGCGTTTAAAATGAATACCGCTGGTTCAGAACCACTTCAAGAACTGGTTCAACGTGAATGCTAAATATCAATGAATTCGCGTTAACATATTCAGTTTAGTCTTGTCATTTCTTGATAAGATCATTACTTATCAATATTTTAACATATTTTCAAGTTATCAATTTATGTTTTACATGTCAAGACTCGATGTTGATTGAGATGCTCCTTCATAACCAGGAGGATCTTGACACACAAACATAACAATGGTAAAAAAGCATGTGGTCAAGTTACTAGGGAGGTTAACTTACACGTTTTTGAGAGAACACGTACGCAAGCTTGCAATATTTTGACCCTGGGGATTAGCGTCCCGCTCTCATTTCACCTTTCCAGGGACCTAATTACAATTGTTCTCCGTATACCTTTATATTCAATCGGCCAAGTAAACAAGTACGAATGGGAGAACTTATACACAAGAACAAAAATTCTACACGTTCACGTACAATTTAAAAAACGTGTATCTAAACCTCCCTACTATCTATTTAGTATGTCTCGTATATTTGTAATGCATGTGCATATTCTGCTTCCCTTCTGAATTATTTTCACAGCGTAAACTTAAAATTCATAAAAGTGTGTTGCAATACTTTTGTATATACATTAGCTCTTGAAGATATTTGTGTTTCATCGTAGCAACTTGACATATTAAAAAATCATTGACTCGGGTCCTTATTTTCAATATGTCTATAACACAGTGTATAAGACATGATAATACATGTTACGTAACCTGTCCTATAACTCTAAATTTTCCCATTTTCACTTTTCAAAGATGTATCATCCAGTTTCTTACTGAGTTACGGAGTTCATTTTTCAAATACAAAAATTCATGTTTTGTTCCACCTTGTAGACATATTACTCCCCTTATTTAGAAAATATATTTCGTTTTGATTGTTACAAGGGCCTTTGCCTCTAAAATGAAGTCACACAAGGTTGCCTTCTAAAAATAACTTTTTGTATTTTTAAAATTGTTTACCACATAACTGCAATTCAAGTATGATATCAATTGATTTTGATAAAATTTTGATCAACAAGAGAATATAGAATTTGGAAAATGCCAATAAATGGTTCCCACAGGGTTCAAACGTCTGCAATAGTAAAAATTCTGCATGGCGCAATGTTTTGGTGTCATTAGACTTTAAAGAGATCGAGTCGTCCAGATTTCTGTTCTGGACAATCAGTAATGTCCCAATATAATTGCTCATAAAACATCATATATACCTTAGGTATATCTTGAGACCAAATCTTAAGCACGATATCGACAATATATTGAAGATATCAACAGGACTACCAAAAGAACAACCAACTGTCAGAATTGAACGCAATAAGTTGAAAACAGAATACAATGTTTTTGGGGGATTTTTTTGTATTGTAACCCCTCAGAAGTAATACATATGGCTTCTCTAAGCCAAAATAATCTGAAGGAAAAAGCCAATCAATCTGGAACAAATTTGAGCGGGCTTTTTGAGTTTGAATTTTAATTTCTATTGATGTAAGTGGAAATTCATGGCTAGGAACAATCATCGAATTGATACTGTTAACGAATTAATTCAAGCCTCAGAATTGATTAAGTTGATAAACAAACTTGTTTTACATCAAATAACACGAAAAAATCAGGGGGTTACTCTAATTGTGTTTTTAGGAGACCTGATCTCTTTAAGTAATAAATACTGTACACGATGTTGCTTCGACAACAACCTGTCTCACCTCTGACGGAGTGGAGGGAATTTTCTATTATAAAGTTTAGCAGCGCTTCGACTCATATACGCATTTTAATACCCTTTCGTATTTTCGATCACTTTTAATAAATTCTTTGTGACATTAATTTAAATACAGGGTTGGCCATTATTGCTATGATTGGTCTCAAACTTTTTGAGATGACTAAGTATTGATGTAAATTTTGTTCTACATAAGTGGTTTTCATGTTCGTCTCTACATTATTTTGTTGCTGCCAATCAAATCATTATGTCCATTTTAGTGTTCCATCCATACACCAAGCTGGCCAAGTGTTGCTTTGACACTGCACATTGAAGTTATTAATAACTCGCTGAATCATGTTCTGTGGTATTTGGTTGATCTCTCTTGCATAGCCCCCGAAATCCGAGGAAGGGAGACTACTGATGATGTATCTCGGTAGCCAGTATTGATGAGCACTTTGTGTTTTATTTATGAACTTATTTTTTATGACGGTTGGGAAAGGCCAACTGACATGTGGGAAAGACCACTTGGCACTCTGGAAAAGACGGAGGGACAGCTGGGAAAGACTAGTGCGTAAGAACATGCAGTAAGGGATGTGTGATACAGGCTGATCTCGAATCGCTCTGCATGAATGATTGTGTTATTCGCGGGCGCAGCTTGACCTGCGTACCAATAGACTGTAAACGTGTACATGTGACGTGCATAACCTGCTACATTATGCACACACACAAGAAAGTTATGGTACCACAAAAGATCCTTTCTTCTACACTATACAGAAGGACCTGACGGATGCACGAAACACGTCATGGTATACCTTTGGGCCTGTAATACAGATTTCTTTTCGAGAAGTAGCAACGCAGTGATTTAAAAGTTACGTGAGCCGTAGAGGGACTTGGCCAGGATTAACCCCACAGAGCCTCTGACCCTCATGTTATGGACCTCCTGCATGCAGAACAGAACAGTATTCAATGCTGAGAAAGAAACATCTACCAACTGACAAAGCACCAATGAGAAGTTATTCTAATACCAGTATCTTTACAGTAGGCAAATACCATCTATGGCAACCATTAGAGATACAGGTGGAGGTTTAACCTCTGCTGGGGGCACCTTCCAAATAATAATCGGATATAGTCGGAGCATGGGCAAAGTCCCATTGCATAGCCCCCGAAATCCGAGGAAGGGAGACTACTGATGATGTATCTCGGTAGCCAGTATTGATGAGCACTTTGTGTTTTATTTATGAACTTATTTTTTATGACGGTTGGGAAAGGCCAACTGACATGTGGGAAAGACCACTTGGCACTCTGGAAAAGACGGAGGGACAGCTGGGAAAGACTAGTGCGTAAGAACATGCAGTAAGGGATGTGTGATACAGGCTGATCTCGAATCGCTCTGCATGAATGATTGTGTTATTCGCGGGCGCAGCTTGACCTGCGTACCAATAGACTGTAAACGTGTACATGTGACGTGCATAACCTGCTACATTATGCACACACACAAGAAAGTTATGGTACCACAAAAGATCCTTTCTTCTACACTATACAGAAGGACCTGACGGATGCACGAAACACGTCATGGTATACCTTTGGGCCTGTAATACAGATTTCTTTTCGAGAAGTAGCAACGCAGTGATTTAAAAGTTACGTGAGCCGTAGAGGGACTTGGCCAGGATTAACCCCACAGAGCCTCTGACCCTCATGTTATGGACCTCCTGCATGCAGAACAGAACAGTATTCAATGCTGAGAAAGAAACATCTACCAACTGACAAAGCACCAATGAGAAGTTATTCTAATACCAGTATCTTTACAGTAGGCAAATACCATCTATGGCAACCATTAGAGATACAGGTGGAGGTTTAACCTCTGCTGGGGGCACCTTCCAAATAATAATCGGATATAGTCGGAGCATGGGCAAAGTCCCATTGCATAGCCCCCGAAATCCGAGGAAGGGAGACTACTGATGATGTATCTCGGTAGCCAGTATTGATGAGCACTTTGTGTTTTATTTATGTGATGTTAGCCTTTATGGAATGGTTTTTCTAATCCCTATCCTTTAGGTACTCCCAAAGAAAGTTATCACACGGATTGGCATCTGGAGAGTACGTCGGCCATATGATTTGGGTCCTGCGTGAGATAAGCCTATAACCAAGAAATACTCAGCTCTCTCTAGATATTCCATGCAATGAGCATATGATCCATCTTGCTGGAAGATGTCACTTCTCATTCTAACCCGTCTGGTAGGTAGGAAACATTCGCGGATGATCAGCTTCTGGTTGCTTTCGGAACTAGAAAAACAGCAACTCCACGGAGTAGCAAATCCCACCGAACAAAACACGTTTTGAGAAATAGCGGCCATATAAAACTTGAACCAAATCCATCCACTGGTATTTTAGAAACATGGTAGCCATTTTGAAATTCAGCTGTCACCCTTTAAAATTTCTTCTTGAGCAGAGCTCCTATATCCCTAAGCATCAGCATATCAAATTTGATCCAAATCCGTCAACTGGTACTTGAGTTATCAAAGATTACATTTTTAATGAAAAATGGCGGAAATTTTGATAAATGGTGGCAATCAAATTCATCTACTGGTATTTGAGTTATCAATGATTACGCTTTTTACGAAAACCGCGGCCATTTTGAAAATCAGTGGCCATCTTGAAATTGTAGAATTTGAACCAAATCAGTCGACTGGTGTTTGAGTTATCAAAAATTACGTTTTTTACGAAAACTGGCCGCCATTTTGAAATTCAACAGCCATTTTGAAAATGTCCTCTTGAGCAATGCTCCTTTGTCCCTAGGCAACAGCATATAAAATTTGAACCAAATCGGTCAACTAGTATCTGAGTTATCAAGGATGACGTTCGTTTACGAAAAGTTGCTGCCATTTCGAAATTTAACTGCCATCTTAAAAAATCCCTTCTCGAGCGATGCTCCTATGCCTTGAGGCATCAGTTTCTAAAATTGGAACCAAATCTATTCACTGGTATTTGAGTTATCAAAGATTACGTTTTTTTACAAAAATGACCGCCCTTCTGAAATGCAGTGGCCATCTTGAAAATCTCTTCTTGAGCAAGACTCCTTTGTCCCTAGGCAACGGCATATACAATTTGAACCAAATCGGTCAATTAGTATTTGAGTTATCAAATATTACATTTTTCAAAAATTGGCCGCCATTTTGAATTGAGAATTCCTTCTGGAGAAGAGGTCCTTCAATAAGGCATAAGCCTGTTAAATTTGAATCAAATCCATCGACCAGTATTTGAGTTATTGCCCGGACAGACGGACGAGCGGACGGACGGCTTTCCAAATCCCCTTTGAAC